TACTTTTATTGTGGAGTAACTCAGTTACTAACTCGGTTACTTTTTGGGAGAAGTAACTAGTAGCCTAACTATAACTAATTACTTTTTCAAAGTAACGTGCCCAACACTGGTCATTTCTAAATTCTGACCTCCACAGCTTTATTTAATGTACCCGTTTGCCTTTTATTGCTAATCATATTATTTAGATTTAAAATTTTCTTTGTTAGGAAATTTTTTTAATTATTTATTAATGATAACAATTAATGATTATTATCATAATTATTACTTGATTTTATAGTATTAGATGTACCTTGGTAATGTTAAAATTTGGCTTTACCAGAATGGCAGTATAAATTAATGAATAACAAGAATGACTGTCAAAAGGTTCAGAGAGCCTTTACCTTTAGGGGTTCGTTTAGAGGGCTTGCTCGTTCTTGCATGAAGATATGTACAAGAACAGGTTAATGCTGTGAGGTAAAAATGAACAGGGTGTTACTCTATTTTCCCAGGTCGTCTACTTTACAGCCACTTTTCCCTACTTGATGTTGGTTGCCTTGCTGATTCGAGGTCTAACCCTGCCTGGGGCTGCAGCAGGGGTTTGGTTTTATCTTTCTCCTGATGCAACACGTCTGGCAGATCCACAGGTAAGCTCTATGTGCGCTTTTATAAACTTTAGTTTTCCTTGGGATTAGAGGAAAAGCTTTCATTGCATTGCTAGTATTGTTTTAAATTGGATTGGCTCAAGTAGTTGTCTTGCAATCAGAAGGTTGTTGATAATCTGCCCCCCCCACATCACATGCTGATGTGCCACATCGATGCCAATCTATGCACCTGTGTTAATGTGCTCAAGTAAACCACATCTACTTTTCGTGCTACCATTAGTTCTCTCCTTTTTCTTTTTATACAAACATTTATCCTGCAAGTTTCAGATTCATTTATTTTAAAAAAGCCAAAATAAATCATGTAATTCTACCACAAAAATCCAACATTATAAATAAAATAAAACACATTTAAGGTTGTGATTATTTTAGTGGTGGGCAGAGACACATTTTTTAAATCTATATTAATCTCACTGTAATCTTGGAATTCATCTGGATTAATCTAGATCAAAATCGCTCATTTCAATTCTGCCAAAGAAATTCATGATATGTTTGTGCTACCTAATTAATAACCAGTTCAATAGATTTTCCCTGAAGCAAACCCGGCGTTTTTACACCTGGATCCGTGCTTAACATGTTCTCAGACGCAGGCGAAGTTCAGGGTCAGACATCGTTAATGATCACACAGATCCCTTCACATTCAAAAAAGTTCATTAACAAACATCCTTCTTTGCCACTGTCCTGTTTGTTTTACGGTTTCTAACCCACATGCAGAACAGTGGCAAAGAAGGATGTTTGTTAATGAACTTTTTTGAATGTGAAGGGATCTGTGTGATCATTAACGATGGCTGACCCCGAACTTCGCCTGCGTCTGAGAACA